TTCCGGCAGTTACACACAATTTAATCTATGAACATTACTCCAAGTATCAACTAAATAAATAAAAGGAACATGAAAAATAGAACTCACAAAAAACAAAATTCTAGAGCGTAAGTGCATGTGAACGCTCACTAAAAACGCAAAAAGAAGAGAGCGACCTGCGTGGGAACTCACGGATGCCAGATCATTGGTCGGAATAGACAGTCAAGTTGGCTCAATAAAAATATTTGGAACTCGTGTGTTATATAGAATAGGAACAATACGATTATTTGATTTGGATAAAAAATCAGCTTATGTAACCAAATATGAATGTACTACGCTTTCAAAATTAAATGATTATTGCAAGACTGGCATGACCGCGAAATATAGATATTGCGAAAAACTTTCCTAGAACATAGTGCCCATAGTTAAAATGACGGAGCAATCCTTACAATGTTGCGCGCAGAAGTATACGAATGCAATAAGATGACTTCAACATCATCGATGATATGAAATTTTAATAGAAAGTTAGTAAGTTGGTTCTGTGTGAGACATGCCGACAATAATCATTTTAACAGTTTTACTTCAGTTTGATGTCTCTATTTTTTCCTTTAATTCTTTCGGTTATTTCGATAAGGAAGCATTTGCTTTTGAAAACTTGTTCAAAAACTTATTATGTCGCACACTATGAATGAAGGTGCGCGGTGTTGTTGTTAATGATGTTCGAAATTGCAGAATGGACTAATATTCAAGCACTGAACTAAAACTGGTTATTAAATTATAATTAAAGACTCTTTGTGTGGTTTAAGGTTACTTGAAATCTTTAAAAAAATATATGCGGTTTACAATTCTCAAAATTTAAGGCCGCAATCGAAAACACATCCTTGTTCCGGACAATATTTGATCCGATCAAACTATGGATAATTATATAGAATTAGCCGGAGAAGCCGCCTAAAAGTTTTGTGAAACCAATATGAAGTTTAGTGGATGAAGTTTTTTTTTCATTCATTACAAACGTTGAATATATCCTTTTTCTTTGTTTTGCCGTTACCGTTATATATAGTTCATAATGTCTTCTTGTGTAAAACGGTACGGACTTTTGCTACAGGTCATGAATAATTGGATAAACATATACAATTAAATATAAGCCTCATAGGTCGCGTGGCAAATAGAATCTTCAAAGAAATATTAAATGACTGTCTCAATTATGGTCGGCGGTAGGTAATAGGTTTATATTAAGCATTGCAAGTAACTCAACTAGTTATGTGGACTCTAAAAATATAGTTTTGAATACAGCGGAGTCGGAGGGAATTTTCGAATGCTGTGAAATTAGTTCTCTCTCTATAAAAAAATAACTATATCACATTGGGCTTATTACTGCATATAGTAAAACAGCCAAATAAGTTACTGCGGGTAATACAGTTTAATTATTTGTTAAAATACAACGCAAACCACAAAATTAAAATAAATATATATATTTTTTGCTAACGTACATTTGTTTTGTTTTTGATTATTGCAATATTGTATTAACCTTTACCTCAAACCTGAACATATCATGCAATTTTTTTGCCTAAACATATTGAAAAACGAAGTCAAAGCAGACGAGTAGGGCAATTGCGTACTCTCGAAAAGTCAGAATTACCGCGAAACTCGTTTTGTTTTGTACCAGAATATTCATTTCATTGGCGATTCCTCCGGATAGACAGCATAACAATAGAGGTCGACTCTGCGAAATCCCATATTTATATCTAAGCGGGGGAGGTGAAAAGACAGCTCAACAACTTGGAGGAATCATTTTTGTTAGAAGCCAAAATAGCGAAAAACTACAAACATCATTAACCAAAGCGCTATTTAACATGTAGACGAGCGACTAAAATGTTGTTCACATTTTCATAACCTAGTCTTGGTTGAAGATATGCACTTTCGCTATGCAAATCTCATTAACGTCAATGCCCCCATACTGGATAATTCAACTATTGAAAATGTTGCAGTCGTGTTTAGCAGTTTTTCTAAAACAACATTTGAATGCATTATCTTGAATATTGAAACAGATAATGAAGATTATCGAAGTATGCAAATCGTTTAAAACACCTAAACAAAAAAATCTCTAATAAAGCGTTCGATTATTTAAATAAGTAATGAGACGATCAGAATACGAAGAGAAAAACTTACTAAAAGTTGGAACGACGTAAAACATAACCAACATAAAAAAGTTTTTATCATTCCTGACAGGATAACTTGATATGAAAACCATTGTACACCAATACAAAATAGTTTTTATATCTCTTACAATGCGTGTACGATTCGCCAATTTTATTATTGTTGAAGCATAAATTTTTTAAAAAAAAAATTTCAGTGGGTGCCCGTAACTTTACTAAGTTATGAATTTTCTTTACTTTTGAGTAAGTGCACGTAACCTTGCTTTGAGAAGATTTTCTTATTATAACAGTGAATACAAATGATGAAATTAAATAACACATATATATATATACATCTATTTGCTGCATTTCGGTCACATGTTATTTTTTGCTGCAGTTGGGCTACTCGTTTTCTGTGGCATATGGTGAGCCACTCACAGCGTTATTTTTAGCGGTTTTCAATAAAAAATTGTATGACAAAATTTCACGCAAGTAATACAGTTCGTTTTAAATATAGTGGAGTTGGTGCCCAATCGTCGTCGCCCAATTCCGAGGGACTACGTTATTTAGCCTATTTGCGGGAATGAGGAACATCATTGGATATGGTCGACACCGCAAGCTGGCTATTTAATCATAGTCCATCATTAAAAATGTTCGCGCTTCCCCTAAATGCTTTGCTTGTAAGCCACCCCGTTGAATATATTTGTGAAAATATAGTCTGCAATACGCTCTGCCCGGAAACAGAGCTCAATGACCTGTAAACATTGAAATCACTCGAGTGTGACTAGATTGACGGGTACTCGCATCCGAGACCCAAAAACCCGATTTTGCAAAAAAAAACCTCTTCCTTTGGCCTGATCACTTTTGTGGGTTTTGTAGACATCGTGACAGACCTTCTTGCCAAGTTGGCACGGATTAGTTCCCTGTAAAATGTTCGTTTGTTCCCGAAACCCCGAATATACTTTCGTATCAAGTTTCTTCGTGCGTAACGACATCTGACTCCGACTGCGCTTTCGAACTGAAGTGCTCTCGGTTGCCTAATCATAAATGAGTTTCTCGTGTAACAGACGATATTAGACCATGCACATGAAAATATGAGACTACTCATTTAATTATATTTATACTCGTAATAGATGACACACA